GGGGCTTGCTGCAGTACACAGGCCTGACTGTATGTGTGTTTGTCAAATGTACACAACACTAAAAACTAAACTGTGCCGCTTTATCATTTGTAATGATACTGTAGTAAACCTGATTTTAAGAAACAAGCATGGTGGTACTTGCTTGTAATCCCAGCACACAGGAGGCTGAGGCTGGAGGAGCCCAAGTTTGAGGTCAGCCTGGGCTACACAGTGAGACCATGTCTCAAAAACAAAACAAGGGGCTGGGAAGGTAGCTCAGTGGTAGAGTACTTGCCTAGCATACACAAGGCCCTGGGTTCCATCTCCAGAACCACAAAAGTAAATAATTAAATAAACAAAACAATGGGGAAGAGAAAAGAAGAGACAAGGACAAGTGAAATTTCAGCTTCAGTGCAGACCCCATAACAAGCTCCGGGCTGGCCTCCCATGTGACCTGTGCCAGCTGAACCCCCTCCAGGCTCTGAAAGTCCTTATCAAATGACTAGCATTTTCCAAGTCATTGAGGTGAGGGCCAGATGCAAATTCCCATCATCTACGTGGACACAAATCATTTAACTTCTAGATTTCAGCTGTGGCCCTGACTCGGTGGAAGCAAATTCCATATAAATGTCACAAATCAATGGAAGGTCCACATGGCTCCCACCACTGCTTTGACCCCCAGCCTGCAGTGCCAGTGATCAGACAATGACTGTGCACTGTGCTAGTGAACTGTGATGTCTTTAGGAGTCAGTACTTTTACACAGTCTCTTCAGAATCAACTTATTTTTCCAACACAGATTTTCTTGCCAAGCAAGATTTGATTTCAAAATTGCAGTAAGTTCTAGAAATTCAGGTTTCTTTCTTGCCTGCTCCCACATTTCATTAGAGATAGCAAACTTGACCTATGCTCCCACCCTCTAGGGTTTGGTAGAAGATAATCTACTGGGGAAGAATTGCACTCAATCAAAGCCCTGATTTCAAACCTCAGTATAATCAAAACAATAAGAACAACAAAATGAAAACATAAAATGAAACACTAATAGTCACTAGTATAAAATGTGATTGTCAAATATATCAAATAGTTGGATGTGGTGGTGCATGCCTATAATCCCAGCACTTGAGAATCTGAGGCAGGAGGATTTTGAGTTCAAGGCAAGCCGGTTCCAGGCCAGCCTGAGCTACAAAGTGTGACCATGTCTCAAAAACCCAAGGGTTGGGGATGTAGCTTAGTGGCAGAACGCTTGCCTAGCATGCACAATGCCCTGGGTTGATCCCAAGCACTGCAACAAAAAAGAAAAAGAAAACATTATCATATAAAGAAGTTGTGTAACTATGCCCAAGGAAGTGAATCATGTAGCAAAAATTCAATATCCATTTAATTTCCTTACTCACCTTTCCCTCTGATTAATTTCACTCTCCCACTGCACCCCATCCTTGGAGGATTCTAATCCGAGTATACATTGAAACCCAACTCTTTATTTCTTAAGGGAAACACTTGCATACATGTGTCAGGATAAGCACTCTAGAAAAGTTAACTCCTCTCATCTAAGTAGCTCTGGGGTGGCTTCCACCTTTTGTCTCTTCTCTCCACTGGCCGTGTCTCAGATCGAGTAGTCTACTCAGCAAGCCCAGAATGGACCCAGGCACTTCACTTCCCCATTTGTCTCTTTCTGAGCCATGGTCGATACCTCTGTCCCCCCTCTCCAAGCTCAAATCCTGTCTTCCTCCAACCTTCCTGCTGCTGTGTGTCAGAACCACTCCCCTGCTGAGTTCCTCTCTGTGTTACTGGAGGAACAATTTCTGAAGAATGCAGTCCCTTACAGGAATTAAAGCCAGACAGTTTGCGTCATCCTGCTCTGTTTCCCTGTCCTTCTACTGCCTGGTTCAGTGTCACTGTGCATAATATATGTTTCTCAACATGTAAGCACATTCACTTTACCGGTAACACAGACAGCCTTTAGGAAGGGGCACTTTTCAGCTCTTACTGTGCATAAAAAGCTATATTGTTTTGTTCCATGTTGTTTGTTGATTGCCAAAATTGTGTGCAAAGAGCCATGTTATAAAGTAATTCCCATTCTGGAGAATTTTCTGTGTGCCTTATAAGGTGGCATAAACTTGTCCCTTAAAGGAAACATTTGCCTTAGACTAGAGTCATTAGGTGTCTCATGTTGTGCAGGGTTCTCTAGGTTTAGAAATGTTGGAGTAGGTGCCTTAGTCTGAACTAATTCAATCAGACTAGCCTTTGACATTTACAGAAATCATCTGGTAGACTATTTGTTAAAAGTAGAGGAGTTAAAGAAATTTAATATACACTAGCATGGTAGTGCATGCTTAGAGTCCCAGCACTCAGGAGGATGAGGCAGGAGGATGACTTGAGCCCAGGAGTTCAAGACCAGCCTGGATAACATAGCAAAAAAAATTTTTTTAGCTGGGCATGGTGGCTCACATTTGTAACCCCAGCTGCTTGGGAGGCAGAGATTAGGAGGATCACAGTTCAAACTCAGACTCCCCACCATAAAAAAGAGACCCAAAGTAAAAAAAATTAGCCAAATGTAGGGGTACATACCTATAATCTCAGCTATGTGGGAGGCATAAGTAGGAAGATCACAGTCTTAGGCTGGCCCCAGGCAAAAAAATCAAGACCTTACCTAAAAAATAACTACAGCAAAAAAGCACTGGGCATGAGGCTCAAGTGATAAAGTGATTGCCTATCAAGTACTAGGACCTAAGTTCAAATCCTAATAACCACAAAAAAACTATTTTAACATAGATATATTCATTATTCCTGGTGCATGACTTTGCACCTGCCTGTGCTGGGGAAAAAAACCCAAAAAACCTCTATAAAGAGGACTTTTAAAAAAGAAAGGAACATAGCAAGTGGAACCACAAGGACCCATTACAGAGGAAAAAACCCTAAATGTTTGAGAATTAGTTAACTGAGGCTGGGGATCACAGATGGATTCAAAAAGCTCTGTTATCAAATGTGTCGAAGAAGCAAAGATGACGTAATCTGGGAAATGGCGGGAGACACTCAAGAGCAACTGTGGCAGTGACAACCATTGGAGTGAATGCCGATGTCACGGCAGACACCAGAGCAGGATACTGAGAGCCATTATACCATGCTTAAACCGCCACCCTGTAACTGACGAATTAGACGAGTGTGTATTTATAATATGCCACCTCTGCCATTAAAACACTATATGCTCTGAGCCCTCCCATCAGTGGGTTCCTCAACCACGGACAGAAAATGCTTACACACACAAAAACTGCATCTGTTCTGAACACGTAAAGCATTCTTCCCCTCATCATTCCCAAAACAGTGCAGCGTAACAGCTGCTCCACAGCACTCACACTGCAGCAGGCACCACAGGTCATGTGGACGTGACTTAAAGTAACCAGAAGACGTGCGGGAGCTTCTACACAGCCCTGCGCCATCTTACATAGGCACTTCAGCATCCTTTGACTCTGGTGCCCAAAGCGGGGCTGGGTCCAATCCCTGGGCATGAATATATCTTGCTTACCACAAAAGGAGCTTGTCTTTTTAATCCTCTCCTTAAAAGTGGGGCCTTGCCAATCAGGAGGGTCCTGTAGATGTGGGTCCAGATGGAAGGCCTCACTGCATGGAACCAGTGGTGCCTCCTCACTTGTTAAGTAGAGCCAAGAAGCTGCCAAAACTGCAAGACCCTGTGCAACAGGTCAGGGCTGGCCCTGGGCCCACCTGGCCAGAGGGTTCAGAGACAGGAGCTCCGGGGCAGGAGATGCCCACTGCCTTTGCCACTGTCAGGACAACAAATCTGAACTGTCCTACCTCAAAAACCAAACCTACATGAAGAAGCTGCTCTGCCAAGCCTGGAAGCTTCTGCACACTCCAGAAGCTCCATTAGCTCCTACAACATCAGGCGGTGTGGGAACAGGACACCTGGAAGCCTGCTGGGTGCCCTCTGACCCCAGTGGGTCCTGTGGCTGCTGCAGCCTTCATTTCAAAAGATGGAGACAGGTGCACAGGCCCTTCATCACAGGGGACACATTCCAAGGCCCCAGCCACTGCACACAGGGCTGAACCCACTTACTCTGGGTTCCTATACATTTATACATTGGTCCAGTAGGAGATTAACACCAGTAACTAATAATAACAACATCCTGTAGAGAGAATTCAGTAAGTGTGGGCTCTGGGAACCGACACTGACTTTGATGACTAAAACCACAGAAAGCGAAATGGTGGCTAAGGAGGAACTGCTACATACCAGGAAGAGGGAAGGAATCTAAGAGCAACCCCTCAGTATCTTCTGTTTGGATATACATTGGCTGAAACAACAAGCCACAAAGACCTGAAAGCCATCTCCTGTGGCACGATCTCAGAACAGTGGCTGGCCATAAAACACACATGGCCTTTTTGACTCTCTCTCAAATTCTCCACTCGAGTATCATAGGGACATAAGACATGCACATCTCAGAGCGCAAAGTATGGAGAGGGGTTTTAGGTAATTCACTTGAGCCTTCTAGCATAAGGGTGACCTTTGCAACAAGGAGGTAATTCCTGAGGTTGGGGGTCCTTAACTCAGGGGCAGGCTCAAGCTGGAGCCTGTGAGTATCCCCGCAACCCCAGAGCAACTGCCTCTCCAGCTCTCAGCTGAGCGAACAGCACCACAGGAATTCCTCTTTTTTTAAAGTGAAGTTGTTGGAAACACTAGATGTAAATGAAAGGTTTTCTTCTGGACAATTTCTATTAAGTTTTTACTTAATTACATATGAGAACAAGAAAGTAATCTTTATTTAAGTTGATAAAGCACAGTAAGTGCTGAGTCTAGAAAAATCTGTTTTTGCTCAAAATTGCAACACTCCTAAGATATGACATTGTCACAGTAGTTTGATCCTGTATAGAGGATGTTTTGATGTCCCTGTTTTCTGACAAATAAAACAAAATTCTGACGTTGAAGGTACAAAATGTCCTCGCCCTGTTGTGTCAGAGAGGAGGGAAGCTGGCTCCTGGCCTTACACCCAGGTGCTGGTCCTTCTCTCACCTGAATGTGCACAGCGCCCTCTACTGCCTCGGCAATGTTGGCGCAGCCACTGATGAGGGACAGCTGCTGTTCAGCACTCAGGGAGCCTTTCAGAGCGCCGCACTGCTCCAGGGACTTCATCTCCTTTCTGAAAAGAAGCACAGAATAGGCACATGGGCAATCAAAAACAAATTTAAAACAAAGCTCAGTGTCACCAGACATCAGGCACAGGCAAAGAAAAATCACAATGAGATACCACCACACCCCATTACAATGGGTATTCTCAAACCAACAAATATATAAATAAAAACACAAGTAAGAAATGTTGGGAAAGTAAAACAGCACAGCTGCTGTGGAAAACGGTATGGAGACTCCTCAAAAAATTAAAAATAGGATTACTACACTGTGGAGCAGTGTCACATCTAGATACGTGCCCATGAGGACAGAAAGCGGGGTCTGAAGACATCTGTACACCTGTGTTCACAACAGCACTGCTCAGTACAGCCAAGAGGTGGACAGATTGACAGTCACATGTTTATAGATGGACAAAAAAGCAAGAGACAGTTTCTAAGCACAATGCAATACTATTCAGCCTAAAGAGCTGGACGGAGAAATGAACTGTGCTGTAGCTATCCATAAAAGGAATGTCATTCAGACTCCTAAAGGAAGGAGATCCTTGGACTTGCCATGACATGGATGAACCTTGGGTACATCATGGTGAGGGAGATAAGCAGACACAAAAGGACAGATACTGTATGATTCAACTCACTGATATGAGGTCCCCAGAGAAGCAGATTCACAGAGAGAGAGATTCACAGAGACAGAAAGCAGAATGGCTGGGAGTGAAGGGAATGAGGAGTTGCTACTTCATGGATACAGAGCTTCAGTTAGGGATGATGGCAAGTTCTGCAGATGGATCAGGGTGATGGGTGCACAACAGTAAGAATATACTTAATGCTGGACTGGACACTTACAATGGTTAGGACAGTAAGTTTTGTTACATGCTTATTTAAAATTTTTATTACAAGTTCTAAAGATAAAGGGTGAAACAAGTCCCATAGGAGGAAAAATAGGAAAGCAGTGGTTCTCTTCCTCATTCCTAGATCAGCCCCCTGGATTGAGGTGTCTTGGCCAGGCATGGTGGTACACAACTGTAATTCAATCACTTGGTGGGAAGGAGGGCTGAGGCAGGAGGATAGAGTACAAGTCCAGCCTGAGCTACATGATGTCAATTTCATTTGCTCTGAGCCTCACAACTGTGTACCCAGTGCTGCTTATAATTCAAAACCATTAAACCAGGCAGGATATACATATAAACACACACAGCTGCCTAAGACACAACATCCACTCACCAAAATACTTCACAGACTTCGTACCAGCAAGTCAAATTGTTCCTACATCACTTCACATTATGGTTTTTGCCTCTCTTTAAACACATACATCTGAACTGTACATGTTTATGGTCTACCCTGTGATGCTTTGACATGTACAAATATTGTGTAATGTTCAAATCATGGTAAAAATATGTCTCCTCAAACAATTATTATTTCTTTATGGTGAACACATTCGAAATCCCTTCCTCTAGATTTCTGGAAAAATATAGTGTTTTATTACTTGTGGTCCCCTACTGTGCACCCCAGAACTTCTTGCTCCTGTGTAACTGCAACTGAGGACCATGGGTAAACCAGTCTCTACCCCTCCCCCAGCTTTCCCCAGCCTACAGTTCTAGTAGATCAACTTTTTTAAACCCCACCTGAGCGAAGCCATGTGGCACTTGTCTTTCTGTGACAGTTTCCATCTTGAAGCTGCCAAGGTTCTTCAGCCCACAGCCAGCAGGAGCACACTGTAGGGGACAGCCAGGGAAAGGCACACCAGGGAGCACAGGGCATCTCAGAAAGAAGGAGCCAGAGAGTACCTGTCATAGGATTGAACGTGCCCTAGGAGATTTGGGAAGCTGTCAAAGGGGCCACTAGAGACTAGTACCTTGGTAAACCTCCTCCAGGTGCAAGTGGCTAGACCCAAAGGAGCAGCACTCACACACATTAGCCAAGAGAGGGGCACTCAGTACTTGTGGTTGGCACAGCGACCCTGCTTTTGTCCATGCTTAGACAAGCTTATGAGATGAATCTCAATGGGTCACAGTGCACAGCGGCCTTGTCTTGGGTGGCGGTCTGTCTGACTACTCTGTTCATCACGTGACCACTCTGCTCTTTGGTTCGGTTTCTGCTCCCTCTTTCTTAAAGCTGGGCATTTTATATTTGACATTAGGTATAAAAGGCGTAACTGTTATTACTGCAAAAAACTAACACAAAGATATGTCAAAATATAAATAAACTCCTATATTATGTCATATGGTCTCTCGCTCAAGGGAGGGAAAGGACAAAAAGGCACCTGTAGGTCATCACCACATATGGGCTTAGACTTACTTATTTTTATTTAGACAATACTATGCTAGTTTCTGTAATCAAACCCACATCAATAAGACCTGACATGTCTAATACAGTGTGTTACCCCTGTACAAATGGGAAAAAGTAAGTTTAATGTTCTAGAACAATATGGCTGCTAATTCTGCACAATGCCAACTCAACACAGTAAACTGGAACACTTTTTTCAAATGGCCAGCACAGCTAAAGCTTCCAAACATCCAAGTATAAATATATTATACATTCATTTATTTACATAAAGAGACTAGTAATAGCAGTCACAACAATGGCTTTTCCAAGTCTTGTGTCATCTAAACAAAAGTACAATTTGATATATTATAAGAACTTTTGTAAATGCCACAAGGTACCCTCACTCAGCACAATTAAAAAAAGAAAAGGAAAAATAAATAAATAAACAAAACTACAGAGACAGCCAGCACACTGGACTTAGTTTTTTTTTGGCAGCATTGGAGTTTGAACTCAAGGCCTTACACTTGTTAGACAGGCGCTCTACCACTTGAGCCACTCTATCAGCCCTTTGGATTTAAATTTTTTAGGAGGAGAAATACATGAGACTTTTGTCCTGTACGTAATTTGGAAGATCTGCAATGTGTCACCCAAAATACTGTCACATACATATACATATGTATAAGAAGTCCTCCTCAGCACTCATTACACACAAACAACTCACAGTGGGGTACTGGGCACCCCGACCCCCACCCCAACAAGGAGATTTTCTAATTTCACACAGAACACATTCCTTGAAGTAGAGGCTTAGAAAACCAAAGCTAAGTGTATTTTTCATTCAACACATCAGGAAGTTCATATAAGCTACAAAGGGTCTTTTGTGGCATGCTGGTGACAGATTAGGAGTTCAAAGATGTATGTTTGGCAGCTAAAATGAAGGGAGAACTGGTTTATAAAGTAAAAGCAAGCAAATATTTAAAATACCATCAAGGATGGGGTGTGGTTCAAGTGGTGGAGCACTTGCCTAACAAGCAGGGGGCCTCATTTCAGTCCCCAGGACCACCAAGAGAACTGTAGCAGAACGGGTCACAAGAAAAGGGTCCCTGATAAGCTAAAAAGGGAAAACACATGCTAGCTGTCCCCAGGGGTTCCTGTGACAAGCATGGGTACCTGCAGCAAACCTCCACGAACACAGGCCACGCACTGCGTTACCATGGAGGAAAGCATTGCAAGATCCAAGATTTTTCCTAAATCAGAGTTTTCCTGTCACAGAATGCTTTTGATTCATCTTTCAAAAATTTGTAGTTACACAGCTATGTGCATATACTAAAAACACTGAACGGTATAACTTTAAATTAATTGATTATATGATACATAAATTATATTTTAATAGAGCTCTTGTAACCCAGGCTAGGTAGGAAGTCACTATAGTGTCCAGGCTGTGATCCTCCTGCCTCATCCTCCCAAGTGCTGGGATTACAGGCATGTAACACCATGCCCAATTTGATTTCATTTCCTTGTAAGATATAGCCAGGAATGGGATAGCTGGATCATATGGTAGAGTTGTCTTTAATTTTTGAGGAACCTCTCCATCTGTTCTCCCTAACTGTTGTACCAGTTTACATTCCCACCAAGAACGTATAAAAGTTTCTTTTTCTTCACATTCTTCACAGACCTGAAAAAAAAAAAAAGAAGTCCAAAAATCCAGGAGGGTGCACACCAGACCCTGAGCAGCCAAAGCAGTCTTGAACAAAAGTAATGAAGCAGGAAGCTCACAATACCTGATTCAAAGATGTACTTCAGAGCCATGGTGACCAAAGCATAATGGCACTGGCCTGTAAGCAGGCAGCAGCACTGGAGCAGCACAGAGATCTCAGAGGAAAGCCCACACAGCTGCAGCCACGTGGCTCTGACGCAGGCTCCAAAAGCTCACACTGGAGAAAGGACAGCCTCCCCAGTCAATGGTGTAATGCAGAAGGCTGAAACTCTCACCCTGTGCAAAAATGCACTGAAAATGGACCCAAGGCCTAAATGTAAGACCTGAAACTTTGAAACTACTAAAGGAAGATATAGGGGAAACTTCAAGGCATCAATACAGGCAGTGATGTTTTTAGACATGAACTCCAAGGCACAGGAAACAAAAGCAAAAATAGACAAATGGGATTATATCAAACTAAAAAGCTTCTGTACAACCTACAGAACAGGAGAAAATCTTTGCCAACTATCTATCAGACAAAAGATTAACATCCAGAATACATAAGGGAAAAAACAAGAAAAGTAATCCAATTTTTAAATGAAAAACTTGAGCTGGGGTACAGCTCAGTGGTAGAGCTCTTGCCAGGCTTGGGTTCCAGCCCCATGACCACACTAAAATTTTTTAAATAAAATTTAAAAGGTGAGTAATTTGAAAAAACAGAAATGACCATCAAATACATGAAAAAATACACAATACCATAATCTATGCATTATTTTTAAAGCCTCTAAAATATATTTACCCAATAGTCTTAAGTATTTTGAAGTGAAAAGTGTTTTCAGAATATTACTCTGCCATACAGGCAGAAGCCAAAGTCTAGACTATTCCTTTAAAATCTAGTATTCTTATACACTGTGTGAGTTTTACATTTCAGGAAAAAAGGAAAACATTCCACTATCTGTGTTTTAATAGCAATGATAAGTTATTCAATGTGAATCTACAAATAAACTCATAGCACACAGCTATTAACTATTTACATCATGGTTCTTGTTTGTGTGGACAGGA